TTATTTTGAGAGAGACAGAGACAGCATGAGTGGGGGAGGGGCAGGGAGAGAGAGAGAATCCCAAGCAGGCTCCGTGCTATCAGTGCAGAGCCCAATGCAGGGCTCACGAACCGTGAGATCATGACCTGAGCCGAAATCAAGAGTCAGATGCTTCACCAAGTGAGCCACCCGGGCACCAGAAACAGCTCATCATGGTCTGGAGGCCTTGAAATTCCTGAGTCTGTGTCACAGCATATTATTAATGAAACATGGCGCTAAGGTACTCTTCCTGTTTGGAAAGTGATGGCTGGCTTTGGATTTTACAGCTTGAGTTTGTTTGTTTGCTTTATAGAGCGCGCAGCTTAGGAAAAGTATACTTTAAGCTCCTTATTCTTTGCAACAAATGCCTCTTTCATTCTCTTACCTGCTGCCAAATATTTACGCAGTATTGGATGGGTTCATTCACTTAGTCAGCAAATGCTGCGCCCCTAATTCATCTTCTTAGGGCCTCACACTTGTAGCCCATAGGTTCCTGTGCACCAGGAGGCCAAGATCTAGTGCAGGGAGACATATACTTCCATGGGTCATCGTATCTCTCATATCAGCCCATATCACATATAGGAAATGTGCTGGAGCCCGGAGAGGAAGCAGCTATATCTGTGTCTGGAGGAAACAAGGAGAACAAGGAAGACTTTGAGATGGAGGAAACAAGGGAGAGGAAGGGGAGGCACGTGACATTCTTTGTCCCAAGATGCAGGGGTGTGATAGGGTCAAAAGCAGGTTACATGTGAGGGAGACAGAAGACAAGCCAAGTAAGGCCAACAGTTCAGATTAGGAAGGAATTTCCAGGCCATGCCAAGGATCCGGGGCTTTATACGTACACACTCAGAAAACTTTACAGGGTTTTCACGGCGTCAGAGCATCAGATTTCCCTTGTAGAAGGAAAGAAGCTGAGACTGGAGGGAGGGATACCCGTTGATAATACTCACAGCTTGAGTTTTAACTCAGTCCTCAAAAGTACCCTATGAACTAGGTACCGCTATTACCACTCTGCTGAGTAAGAGGCTGAAATACAGAAAAAAAACTATCCCCACGTTCACACAACTACTGAGAAGGAGCCACTTGGATTTGAACACTATCAGCATGACTCCAGAGTCTGCAGATATAAACACTAGACATTCATATCTGACTTGAAGTCTACCGTCTAAGAAACTATAATAGTCCTCATGAAAAACGATGAATACCGAACCTCTTGGGTAGCCCTGAGGCCGCAGGATAGGGGACTGTTGTCCACTGTATCAGAGGCTGTTATCCACCCGATATGCATTTTCTCTCTTAGAACTCTCAGTTTTTCTCTGAGCCCCTGCCGCCTGGAATAGGGATCATAATCCCTAGCTTTCCCTGCAGCTAGGTGTGACCATGAGTCACAGTTTTGGCAAATGAAATATTTGGGAGTGCTGTATGACAGCTTCTAGAGAGTTTCCTAATGATTGGCGCATGTCCTTTGCCTCCTTCTTCCTATCCCTTCCACCATCCTGCTTTGGGGAATGTGCGTGTGGTGGCTACTCCCTTGGATCATGGTAGCAGGTGCCACTCCCTGGAAGGAGCATCGATACCTGAAGTCTTGGTGAAGCGGAGCTGCCACACCAGCCGGGACCACCTTCCGGAGGATTTTCCCTGAGAGACAGATAAAGTTTTATTGTGCTTTAGGTAGTATTATTTCAGGTCTTTGTTGCTTTCGGCCAAACCTAGTTCTTGCCAATATATCCCTCCCTTCCTCGAGGAAAATTACAAATGTTGGAAATATGATAAAATAGAAGGATGCCTATAGGTGAAGTCAACTCTGCACGTTGTAACACAAAAATCGCGGTTCGATGTGTTTTGCAGCGGTTTAAAAAATTCAAAATTTGTGTCAGGGTAGACAATAAAAACAAAGAAAGCTATGATCAGTGGAAGAGGAAGACCTGATTTCCCAGTGTGTCAGGGTCAGGAGACACAAATGTGCCCGCATTCCATTGTATTAAGGCCCTACTCCCCACGCCACCTCAGAGGGAAAGGGTCACCTGTAGCAGGACCCCGCCCCCACCCCGTAATAACAGGATTATACATCCACACCCTTTGCAATGTGACATTGGCAATGCCTCTTGGTAAGATAGGTGGAATATACATCCTCTTGTCATTCATTTTAGGGCTTGGCCATGCAACTTGTGTGTTCAACAGAATGTTGACGGTTGCAATACAGGTAAAGCCTTTAAATATGCTTGGGTGTTTCTGTTTGTTTCTTACACTTCTGCCATGTGAGGTGAGAAGGACACGTCCTTGAAGGAAATGCTCACATATGAAAATACATGAACGATCCTTTAAGTCAGCACAAGGATGAGAAGAAACCAACCCGGAAGCACCACGATCCAAAATTATGGCAGTGATCCCGTCTTTTTTTTTTTTTTTTTTTTTGTAGCAGCTTTATTCAGATATAATTCAATTCCGTACAATTCATCCATTAATTTTTTTTAATGTTTCTTTTTGAGAGAGAGAGACAGACAGACAGACAGAATGTGAGCAGGGGAGGGGCAGAGAGAGAGGGAGACATGGAATCCGAAGCAGGCTACAGGCTGTCAGCACAGAGCCCGACACGGGGCTCGAACTCACGAACCGCAAGATCATAACGTGAGCTGACGTCAGACGCTTGACCAACTGAGCCACCCAGGTCGCCACAATTCACCTATTTAAAGTAAACAATTCAATGGTTCTTTGTATCTTTATAGATTTGTGTAGACATCATCACAATCAATATTAGATTACTTTCATCAGCTCCCCAAGAAGCCCTTTAGCAGTTACATCCTGCTCCCCAAATTCCAGTCCCCTTCTCCATCCTGAGGCAACCACTAATATACCTTCCATCTCTGTGGATTTGAATATTCCGGACCTTTCATATAAATGGAGTCATACATTATGTATTCTTCTGTGACTGGCTTCTTCCACTAGAAATGATGTTTTAAAGGTTCATCCATATTATAGCACGAATCATTACTTCATTCCTTTTTATTGACAAGTAACATTCCTTTGTGTGGATATGCTACATTTTATTTATTCACTCATCACCTGCTGAATTCAGTGGTACTTTTGTATAACCACAGGAACATGCAGAAGGAGAAAGAGCAGTGCAATGTGCTGATGACTTTATGGGACAAAAGCCTTTATTGTCATGTACTGGTCACATCCACAGAGTGTTACACACACACAACAGTCCATTTCTCATTGCAAATAAGTATGTTGCTATGTGATTTAAAATACCAGTCTCTCTGAGACTTGCTAACGGGAAACAGTGTCTCCAATGCAATCAACTTGCATTTATAAATGCGATGACATTTCTATGGAACCGAGGCCATGCTCTAGATGGGCGAATTTGCCAAGGTAAATGCCACCTTTCAGTCTGGGTGGCCAGGTGGCCTTTCTTTTAGGTACCTTTATTTTCCTGAACTAGGGCGCTTACCCAGGTTCAAATATATTTTTCTATATTGCTCATGGTCGACCAAGGACTCTGTCATCTCAATGGCAATGAGGTCACTACAGTGACCAAGGAGCCCTGGAGGCCCAGCAGGCCAAAAATGCGACATATCAGACTAGAGCAATTTTCTCTGGAGCACTGACTAGAGACGGAGTGTCACCACCTCAGAAGTGTGCACTTTGAAGACAGGGCTATATTTTGTCCGATTGCTTTGATTTAGTTTAGATCGAATAACAACTATTATTAAAGAAGGGCACGAGAATGCCACTGTACCAAAAATGCTCAGAGTCTTGTAACTAGTAGATTGGTAAGTAAGACCTGGGGATCGAACCCACAGCAGAGTGATTATAGTTAACAATGCTGTGTTGTAAACTTTGAAGTTGCTAAGAGACTGGGTGGTCATTGTTCTTACCATACAAAAGAAATAATAATTGTGTGACCTGATACAAATGTTAGCTAATGCTACAGTGGTAATCATATTGCAACATATAAATTAGCTAATCAACATGTTGTATACCTTAGTCTTAAACAACGTTCTATAACAATTGTATCTCAATAAGAGGATAAAACAATCTTTAATGAGGGAAAAAAAAGGTATTCAGGGGAACACAGGTTTAGAAAGTTTAAAAAATATGACACGAAAAAAAAAAAATAGTCCATGGGCAGCAAACCCCAATGCCTATAGGACCAGACAGGAAGAGCCAGTCACATGGAAGGATTGGAAGCAACTATCTCTAGCTGGAGAATAGAGATCAGCTACATTTTTAAATTATATGCTAACAACGTTAAACATGAATAATCAAAAGATGGGTAAAAATATACTTAGACATTATGAAATAACCCTGCAAAACAGATTATAAGGCCTGGCCGAGATCCAGGGGAACAAATTGGGGATTGATTTGCCATTCCTAATTTAGCCTGAATATATAAAGTCAAATGGACCTTATAGGATACTTTCTACTCTTATGGATTTCTGATCACTTTATTGGAGAGAGTTTATACATAGAAGCTCATGGGATATATTCCAGTTTGGGGACCATCATGGGAAGAGCATCTTTCCTGTGTTTGGTGCCTTTGCGGATTTGTGGCTGAACAGAAATCTCCCCCATTCCAGCCGCTCAAACAGCGACCTCAGGACTTTCTGTTCCGAATCCACCAAATGCAAAAGCGACCAGACAACATCGCCTCCGTTCCCCAAGGGCTGCTCCTTCAAGTGGCTGCCCTTGCCAACCCTGCCTGGGCCTCTGCAGGTCTGTCGCAGCTCCCCCTGCAGGTAGAGAGGGGAAAAGGGGACCAGATTCCGCAGAGAGGAAGAGGGAGGAGCGGCCACCGCCGTGAGTAAATCTTCATTATCATAAAAAAGGGAACCACGGTTTCACTCTCCCCGTTTTTATGATGAAGTAAAATAAAATGGGAAAGAAGAGCGAGAGAAGAGATTGCTCAGTAAATGGCCTCAAACCCAGCACGTGTTTATTTAAGCGTCTCTGTGCAAACATAACCCTGGGTGTCCGTTAAATCAGCAGGCATGTCAGTTGGCACTTCTGGTTACAGACCATTTTACGGTCATACATCATTCATAGCCGTAAAAGCCATTTGCCCTCTGTCACCCAACCAATCAGGATCCAGCCAAGAGGAAGCGGAGCAGTAGCCTGGCAGTTTTCTCCAGGCTCCTCTGAATTTCCTCAACCTGGTTCAGCAGAATGTCACAGAAAATTAACTCTCCGGGGTTATTAGGGACCCCTTCCCTTCCCCCTCCCTACTAAGAAGCAATGCGTGATTTCAGGCTAATATTTGCCCCAATCACAAGCAACACCTTGTGACGTCCGGGGTAAGAGAGCAGCGGGCATTGCACGCAGGCCCGGCACAATACCCGTCGCCTTGAACCACTCGAGTGAAGGTACGTGGCTGGGGCACGGCTCGCCATGCCTCTGCAGTTCACTCCTAATGCTCACTTTGAGCAGATTTGGAATTGATGTCAGTGTCTAAGCCACCCAGTGGGTAACCTTGATCCGCCCTTGCTTCCCTCTTGCGAGTTCACATTTTTTTCACTCCTCGCCTCCTCACTTCTGTTATCGACACAGAGATGCCTGCCAAAGCCTTATGACCGCCTCGGGCCTCGCAAACCATGCATCTTTCAGTTCTTCCCAAATGCCCGCCCCTCTGGGTTGGTACTTCGCTTAAAATGCCTCCCCACGTCTAACGAGTCCTCCCTTTGTATTTATTACTTCTTCACTCTTTCTTGGTGCACGCCTTCATTTAAGAATGAGCCTCAGGGGCGCCTGGGTGGCGCAGTCGGTTAAGCGTCCGACTTCAGCCAGGTCACGATCTCGCGGTCCGTGAGTTCGAGCCCCGCGTCGGGCTCTGGGCTGACGGCTCGGAGCCTGGGGCCTGTTTCCGATTCTGTGTCTCCCTCTCTCTCTGCCCCTCCCCCGTTCATGCTCTGTCTCTCTCTGTCCCAAAAATAAATAAACGTTGAAAAAAAAAAATTTAAGAATGAGCCTCAACGGTCGTCACCACCGCAGTGGGCACCTGGACAGTCCCATCTGGTCGCCCCACTCCATCTCTGCCCGGGTATCCCGCGTGGTTTCTGGCCTCTCCAGTCGTAACAGGCTAGGATCAATTTTCGAGCGGCAGCTTGGAAATAATAGCGCAAAATGTATATTAATACAGAAATATATTGTGAAACTGTCCTTAAACAAACAAATGAGCCACTTTAAAATATTACTGCTATAAATGACCATGACAGTCGCACAGCACATATAATAAAAATAACTGCTGAGGAGAAGCTGCTGAATTACTATAGTAATAAACCAGATGTGATTATTATCATTTAACACGGTCATTGAATACCATGAATCCCTGAAGCCATTAAAATATTTATGATTAAACATTTGCTATTCCTTATAACAGAACGTATAGTTGGGGACTAAAAAACTGTTAAAGTATTATTTCAGCTAATATATTCCAGTTCTATAATGGAGGTCAACCAACATTGCCTGAATTCTTTAAAAGAGGGATGAGCAGGTGCCTCTCCGTATCTGGACATATTTCAGGATGTCTATGCTGGTATTATATACTCTCAGGGTCCTGGGGAGGGTGTATCAACTCCACGCTACTAAGGTAAAAAAATATGTTCCTATTCTTTATATTCATGAACAGATGTGGGCTTGGGGGCTGTTCTGGTCATTCTTCTAGCAAGAAAGCAGATGTAGCAGATGCTTTCAAAGTCCCCTGCTCATATCCCCGTGGCATTTGTCTTGAACATTCCCCAGCAAGCGTATCTCCACCAAAGGGTGTCCATTCGGCCAGCCAGAGCCTGCAGTGCCAGGGCATTAACCCCTCCCCGGGAGCAAATGTTGGCCCTGGCGGATAGGGTTGGGGAATAAATATCTCGGCCAGATTTATGGACGTCCCTCTTTTTCAAACTCTGTCCTTTGGCGGTGCTCTTGACCCTTGTTGCCCTCCTGATGATTGTTTTCAGTTATAATTTTAGTTCGGTTACATACAAATTGGGTTTGTTGGGCTGAACAGAAATGTTACAAGCGGTGTCTTCTCAAATTTAACTAGAGACACTTCTGCCCCACAAGGCCAGTCTTCCAGAGTGTTTGCTTCTCCCCTCCCTTCCCGTTTCTCGGCAGTTCCAGCTTCATCAGAGGATGAGGGTTGTTGCCAGGAAGGGAACTCATCCATCCACGGCACGTCCTGGTGATGGCCCAGGAGTGGAGAGCTCCATGCTGGAAGAGCTGAATGAGAATTCTTCGTCACTATCGCTCGAGGCTGACCTGAGTGTTTTAATTATTCATGCTACCAGAATTGGCTATTTCTTGTTAAATGGCTACCAACAGCAATCACCTTTCCTTATATCTTTAGAGACAAATATTTTCCAAGAAATAAGATGCTTGAGTTGTCTGAACCCTGCCAATGGACAATGTGGTAAGAAACAAAAATGTGGGATTTTTGGAAAGAGGTCTGTTCCTTACCTGGTGTGTGCATATATATATATATATATATATATATACACACACACATATATACATATATATATATACACGCATATATATATATATATGCACATATATATATACGGGCATGTATATATATGCACACACACATATATGTGTGTATATATATATATATATATATACATATATATGGCACATTATATAATTCTTTCACACTTTCTAGCTTGCTAGCAGCTTAATTTTCTCATATGTGAAAGGACCATAGCAACCATATAAATTGGTAAAATGTATATAAAGCGTTTATATACACTAACATGTGAGTAATAGGTAATTAATAAACATTAACTTATTAAATGATGAATGAATGGTGAATTTACCTACTATGAAGCTCTTCCACAGCATCACGGTGACAGCTCAGTTCTTGGCAGAGATATTACCTATTGGGAACCCATTTGATTCCCAGCATGTCTCTCTCTAGCTTCCCATCATATGGTTTGGGCAGTGCTATATATCTCTGTCATGTGGGTTCCATATTTGTCCTTATACTCCCAAGTTATATTTGTATAGGTCCATCCCGTTCTTGCTGTGGTTTCACATTTGTAGGTTTAATAACCTGGGCAGCTGTCTGATGTATGTACAGGAAAACTCACAAAACCTCAGAGTGGAATAAAAAACATTTTCGAAGACCCCTGCTGGCTCAGTCAACCCTAATGAACTATTAGATCATTAGAGACTCTTTGTCATCAATTAGTCATTAGATCAGCAACCATTCATTGATGACAGGGCTCTCCTACTTAAAGGGATAGTGCTGTTAGAATGCAAAGGAACCATTGCGGGTGTCTCTGAAACTCTCGGAAAAAAAAAAAAAAAAAAAAAAAAAGTAGCACCATGTGGTCGTTTCGAGTCTCAGTTACTCCAGAACCTAAAACGAGGCTCATTTAGTATGGCTGCTTAAATTTTTCAGGTCACCTTGACTTAGTAAAGATTTCCAACGAAAGAAGAATAAAGGCTTATTATAGTTTATATGTAGCCATGTAGCCCAGGAAGGGTAGAATAGGCTTAAAGGCTCTTGTCCATGTGTTGTGTGAGTATCGTTGCCTTGCTCATCATTTCTGTGACTTTCTAGGGCCTCATGTTCTTGGGGGTCTTTTCCTCCAATACCTTGTTCCTGCTGACCTCTGGACCTGTCTTGGACCTCAAGTCTGCTCACTTCTCTGGCCTGTGGCCACCAAGACACCTGAAGGCTTGCAATTAGTACTCATATCATGCACTCATAAGGACCTATGGTGACAATTCCACGTGTGTGCATGTGTGTGCTCGCAAATGTTACCTGTAATCCAGCCTGGCAGATAAGTAACTGCTAACTAAGAATTGATGTTGGACATCATTTCGGGTAATAGTCGCTCCTCGTAACCGCACCAGGGTAGATGTCTTTGCCAGCTTTCCTCCTAAACACCTCCCGTCGGCTCTTCTTTCTCCCTCAACATACTCTTTCTCTCTCTCTAATTCTCAGGCTGCTCCCCGAACCTCAAAATCCCTCCAGTGTTACTAGGCAGAACCATTCACCACTGTCTGGGACCCAATCTGAAGGCAGTCGGTTGGCCCATATAAGTATTTGCTAAAATGAAGACGGTTCTCTCCCCTGAGTTCTGCCGCAGCTCAACTAACAGGTGACTTTCCCCAAATATTTGTGTTTTTTTAAAAAATTTTTTTAATGTTTATTTTTGAGAGAGAGAGAGAGAGAGAGAGAGAGAGGGAGAGCATGAGAGGGGGAGGGGCAGAGAGACAGGGAGACACAGAATCCGAAGCAGGCTCCAGGCTCCGAGCTTTCAGCACAGAGCCTGCCGCGGGGCTCAAACTCACGAACTGGAAGATCATGACCTGAGCCGAAGTCGGACACTCAACCGACTGAACCACCCAGGCGCCCCTTTCCCCAAATATTTGTAACATTTGTGTAAGTAATCAAAGATCATGTGCACCAGCGCTTGACATGTTTTCAGGAATTGCGTTAGAGAACTCCACTACCCACACTGCACCCACCATGACATAGCACTTCCTGGAATGAACCAGGATCTCTTGTGGGCGGGTCTTGTCTGATGGTAGGTGAAGCCAAAGTTTGTCTCTGTTGGAATGCATTCCTGAAATTATAATGAGCAAATACGATTCCCAGTAAATAAATATGCACTTAAAAATGCTTCCTGGCTATCTTTAAGTGAAAGTAAATGGTATTACCTTTTAAACTAGTAAGAACACTTTGGAGGAGCATTCTTCCAGGGCACCTAGGTGGCTCAGTCGGTAGGGCATTTGACTTCGGCTCAGGTCATACTCTCAGTTTGTGGGTTCAAGCCCCGTGGTGGGCTCTGTGCTAACAGCTCAGAGCTTGGAGCCTGCTCTGGATTCTGTGTCTTCTTCTCTCTATGCCCCTCCCACTCGTGCACCTGCGAGCTCTCTCTCTCTCTCTCAAAAATAAACAAAAAATTTTAAAAAAACAATGAATGAAAGGAGGAGCATTCTTTGGCTGCGAATATCCAAGACTCAATGGGGAGGCTGAGGGCCCTTTTGAAGTGAGTGGAACTGAGTCGTCAAATCCTTTCTGCAACAACAGAAGCTGATGTTGGATAAAGACTCAATTACTAGTCATGTTTACTTCAGAAAGCCTGTTAATTTTAGTTCATTTATCTTCAAATTTACTTTAATGTTCTATAGACCACATTGTTGTTTAGTTCTTTCTGTAAAAGAAGAACTAGAACTACAGAGTAAAGCCTGTGTTATTTATTTATTTATTTATTCATTCATTCATTCATGAATGTTTATTTTTGAGAGAGAGAGTGAGAGAGTGCAAGCAGGGGAGGGTCAGGGAGAGGGAGACAGAGGATCCAAAGGAGGCTCCGTGCCGACAGCAGAGAGCCCAATGTGGGGCCCGAAGTCATGAACAGTGAGATCATGACCTGAGCCAAAGTCCGACGCTCAACTGACTAAGCCACCAGGTGCCCCAAAGCTTGTGTCTTTTTATTTATTTATTTATTTATTTTTTTAAATTTTTTTTTTCAACGTTTATTTATTTTTGGGACAGAGAGAGACAGAGCATGAACGGGGGAGGGGCAGAGAGAGAGGGAGACACAGAATCGGAAGCAGGCTCCAGGCTCTGAGCCATCAGCCCAGAGCCTGACGCGGGGCTCGAACTCACAGACCGCGAGATCGTGACCTGGCTGAAGTCGGACGCTTAACCAACTGCGCCACCCAGGCGCCCCAGCTTGTGTCTTTTTAAAGGTGAAATGGTTCTCTGATATTAATTTTTGGGGGAATCCTGGGATGATACCAAGCAATAATGACATTAATCACTTTCTGATTTTTTTTAACCAAATTTTTACTTTATGTGGGGAGCCATGCAGAGCCCTATTGGACATTGTCTCACTTTTTCTCGTAGCTCCCCCATGAGGCAGGTGTGTATTACATCCTATTTTATACTGGAGGAAACTGATCTCATTTCACCTACATCTTACTTTTTCCAGAGGCTTCCCTAGCTTCCCCTATTATCATGCTTGTCACATTTTACTATAAATGTTTGTCTGTCTCTTGGCCCCGACAGATCAGCGTGGGCAAGAACCACATCTGTGTTGTTACCTAATTCAGTGTGCCTAATTCAGTGCCTTGCATATGTTAGGTGCCTAATAAGTATTTGCCTACTGGCTGGCTGGAACAATGAATCAGCATAGAGAGGAAGAGTAACTCACTCAAGGCCATTGGTAGAAAGTGGAACCAAGACTCAGATCCATGGCCCCTGGACCGTGGAGCCCAAGCTCTTGAATGTCATGTAGCAATTTCCTCCATCCCATGCCCAACCCCAACACAAAAACAACATGTTGATTTCAACAATAATATCTTTCTTGCTGCCAAGGCACACACTTTTAGTCTTTGTGGAAACGTGAGCTCATTAGCAAAGCATCTTTTGTCACTGGGGAAAGGCACAATTCGCCCCCGAGTTTACCCCCTGCATGGTGTGCTGTGAAAGAGCCCCTCATCCTTGGTGTGCCCAGAAGCACCCAAGCCGAACCTTCTCCAGATCACGGTCGAAGCTCTGAAATCTGTTTAAGACTCAAAAGTCTGGCCTTGGGAAAGTCTTAATGGTCCAAATACGAAGAGGCAGAGTGGGGTGAGATGATGCAGAATTGAGGGTGGTGGGGGTTGTGCAGAATTTCTTTTCTTAAATGAAAAGCCCAAATAAAATAAATAAATGAAAACATAAATCACAGTGTCTTCTCCGGGCTCCTGGCTGGAGGAAAACAAATTAGAAAGGGCTTGAATGAAAGGAGTATTGAAGAAGCTTGACTTGAATTAAGTGGTTATATATTTTAAAAGCACTTTTGTTGGGTCCTGTAAAAATAGCAAATAAAAAGGTAGTAATATCCCCTGACTCTGTGAGGCAAATACCAGTAATAAAGTAAAGTAAGCTTGGGTATGTGTATATGTGTGTGTATGTGGGTGGGGTGGGGGGGCTGCAGAATTTAAGAGTATAAACTTGAGTAGAAGGGAAAAAAGTAAAGCATTTGGGTTAGAAACACTTTCATTTTCCCTTAATAATTAATGACGAGGTGCTATGGTTTCACATAGATACCGTGTGTCTTTCTAACGCCATTCACTTTCCTCTTAAAATGGCCCTAAATGAAATTTAAAGACATAACTTGATTTTTTTTTTCTTTGACAGGCAACCTACAAGAGTTATTTCAGGGCTATCGAATGGTTATAATTTAGGATCCATTTTACAATCCCTCCATACACAGGCGGAGAAGACTTTCACAATGAAAACTGTAGCAAGCACCAACCACAGCCAACCTGCAGTTCCTTTTTGACCCGCCATGTCGTTATTAATTGAAAAGTTAGCATCAACTGGACAGCATAGATACTTTTACAAATCTATAGAGGCTTGAGCCGCGAGTTGCACAAAAACGGTCATGGAGGAAAATAACACAGAAGAAGTTGCCAGGAAAGAGCTAAATGAACTTTCTCCTTGTTAAGAAATGTTTAGGTCCTTTTGTTTGTAAATGGCAGGTGGGTGGTACAATTCCAGTGTAATTTCAGAAAGCCATCTTCTGAATGTAATAAACATGTCTGCAATAATAGGATTCAGAAAATCGCAAAATGCATTCCAGAAACCCTTTGATTGTGCATACAGAACAGAGGATTTAGCTATAATTGGCTATAACACAGTTATGGACGGCAAATGACACACAGCGGAGCTGGGTGATGTAGCAGCTCTGATTAGCGACGGTAAGGTTCAGCTGAACATCGTGAATAAAACAGCAAGTGCACGGTGACACAGCACCTGCCCTCCCTCCCTTCCTCTCACCCACCTTCCCTCCCTCCCTTCTTCCCTCTCTTCCCGCCTCACTCCCTTCCTTCCTCACTGTCTCCCTTTCTGTTTAATTGAAGCCTCATAACTTAGACTAGAGAACTTAGTTTGTTATTACCCAACGAATCACATGTCAGCCAAACCTTCCTTTTCTTCAGAGAGTCACAGTTGTGTGGAAGGGGGAAGTAGGAGCCCATGGGGAATTGACTTTTTGGAGAACTGGATGTAATTTGAATCAAGAATTATAATAGGAAATAAACCATTACAATAAACAAGGAAACATGTACACAATTACTTTCACGGCGTAATTTTATTCACGCTAGTTGAGAAAATAAAGAGATAATACTGACCGTAGCACCTGGGTATTTAATGCAAACTGTAAAATCTATTATATTAAACAAAGTCAAAAGCAATGTGAAAGATCTTGAATCTATTCTAAGGCATGCACCTCATTACAGACTTAGCAAATTAAAACACAAATAGGATTAGAAAAGAATAATGTAACAATCTCCCACCACGGTCCCTAGAGCATTAAGTCATAAATTGGGTTTGCATTAAATTGTGCCTGCAGTATTGAATTCAGGGAAAGAGCTGTAGGCTGGAGATAAACCATGCTGGGCTACTCACCAACTTTGGCAAAGCTATGTGTTTTCTGAGACGTGTAGTAAATTTGTTAGGCTATAGCAGGTCTACAAAAAATGAGCACTTCGTATCTTAATTAAAAAAACGGCAATGTCACGCCATATGTGGCTTGCAGAGATATAAATGCAGACAAAAATCCACACGTGAAACAGAGCTCTGTTACCCAGGTAAGTTTAAAGCCATTTCACTAAATGCACTGCTTAATACTAGAGACAGGGTTCGTGCGTTTTAACTCTCAACACCGAGTTTTTGATCAATGTTGTTTTGTTTTAATTTTTGTTTGCAAAGGAAGGAAGAAGTGGAGAAAGCGAACCATCCTCTTTAGAGAACACATGCGGGCTTGTAGACTATTCAGAGGAATACTCTCTTTCTTTCCATGTGACGATTAGACCTTAACTATTCTGGCTGATCTATAGAAAAATACATGTGATTTATTTTGAAAAAGCAAGTGAATGTACTTAAATTAATTTTTAAATGACGCAGGTTTTTGCAAGACACTGTCCACTACAAAGCTTGTTCCTTCCGTTAGAGGTTTTACTCTCTTTGATCTGCGTCCTAATCCTTTGTATGAGGGAGACTAATCAGGAAAAGAGGAAACTGTTCAGCTTATTGTATGGCCTCATGTGAATTCCCATCTGTTGCCTCTTTGCAAACGGGCAGGCCAAATGCAAAAAGCCGATGGTTGGTCCTGTTTCCTCAGGGCCACTCTCAGGTACAGGACTCTATTTTATTTTCTCTGACTTCCTAAGGCTGCTATGAGAATTCCAGAAAATAGGGAGTGTGACTTCCCGTGCTCAATGGTGTGCGGGAACTTTTCCGTACTTGAGAGGATTGTTTCTAGACCTTCCTGTTAGGGGAAGTCCACGTATCTCCTGGACAATTCCTTTTCCCTTCCTTGTCTCTGGGCTCGCATACTCCCTTCCAGGAGTGCTCTGACCTCCAGCTGCTCTGACCTCCAGGCGAAGGGTTTCTACATCACACTTAGTAGCAGACAGTCTGTTTCAACTGGCATTGTATAGTTTTAAAAGCTTATTTGAAAGTCTAAATGGCTCCCATTTTGGCTTTAGTAAGACAAATATGGGCAAAAACACGCAGTGCCCCTTAAGTATGATGGATACTCAGGACCCGCTGAAGTTTCCCGTAGCCAAAGTCTGGCTCATCATCAGGGCAATTTTTCTGCTGCGTTATTTATGTGGTGGTTTTTCTTCTAATTATGGCTCATGATGGCTGTTAGTGTTGAGCAGTAAGAGAGCTAACTGCATTGTACTGCCATTTAACTCCGGCCCATAAAATGGGTGATAAAGCTGAGGGCTTAAAACCAAAACAAAACCCCCCCAAAACGTTACTTTCTGTGACAAGCTCACATCCGCTTCTGCCATCCCGAGGCTGGAAACCTTCACGAGGAAGCACACGGAGGTGGGTGACTTCTGAGGCCTGGGAACCTCACGTTTCACTCAGGCTTCACCCTTAAGTAATCCTTTATTGTAGACAAAACAACCCCCGACCTCGGATATAATTAACACATGCCAGGTTTAATCAGAACCAGTGTGCTTGTTTGGAAACTAATGAAAGCAAATAGATGTTACTTAACACCATAAATAATGAAAGGTCCTTTGTTGTTCTCAATTTTGATTACTATTTTTTGATGGTAAGACACATGCTACTTGGTGCGTGCATAAACAAAGAAGATAAATGGCCGGGATGAGAATGAGTTGTCCATAATCTGATTAAAGCGATAGGGCTGGCTCCTAGGCCAATCGCACAGGGCTTAATGATTGGGTTGTTGTTCTTAATATGTCTCGTGTTCACTCTTAAAGAAATCAAGAAAAATGTTAAGAGGTCGCTGTTATTTTACCGGTGGCGTTGGGTTGTCTGTCGGAGATTCTGACAGGAAAAGAACATTCTCTGTGCCTGGAACACAATGTCCAGCCACGTATACTAATTTGCCCAAATGATATTAGGAAGGCATTCAAGACCTAAATCTGCCCCAATTCATTCACTGTGCTGGCACACACAGCTATCGGGGATAAGGCAAGGACAGGCTTGGTTTTACGGAGGCTACGAGGCGATAACATAGCTGCAAAACGCCACTAACCTTCTGTGTGGTTATTTCCTTTTTCTTCTGGACAGAACACTTCTGGATTTCAGTAAAATGTCTACTAGTGTTTGCAAGGGAAGTGCATTATTTAAAAGCTTGTGGCTACTCCAGCCTCTTGGGATATTAGGGAGCAAACGTACAGTGATGGTGGAGTTCTGTAAGATCCCACGTTGATGGACTGTGATGATTTCCATCCCTTCATTTAGCATGAGTTCTATGGTCTTGTGTGTGAATGCACATTTGTGTGTGTGTGCGTGTGTGTGTGTGTGTGTGCACATTCACACATACCATAACTCATAACCGAGTGGTCCTGCAAATTTAAGTCGGTCTGAGAGAGAGGTCCCACTAAGTGCACTGCCTGCCAGATACGATCATGGTGGAGTCTGGAGGTGTCCTAATACATTTAATTTATTTTTTATTTACTTTATTTTATGTTATCTTATTTTTTCAAGTGGGCTTCATGCCCAACGCGAAGCCCAATCGTGGGGCTTGAACTCAACAACCTTGAGATCAAGACCTTACCTGACATCAAGAGTCGAATGCTTGGGGCGCCTGGATGGCTCAGTCGGTTAAGCATCTGACTCTTGATTTCGGCTCAGGTCATGATCTCACAGTTATGAGACGGAGCTTCATGCCCAGCGCGGAGCCTGCTTAGGATTCTCTCTCTGCCCCTCCCCCATGAGTACTCGCTCTCTCTCTCTCTCTCTCTCTCTCTCAAAAAAACCTAAATTTAAAAAAAAGAGCCCAATGCTTAACCAACTGAGCCACCCAGGCACCCCCATTTTAGGATTGCCCTAATGCCATTCAGCCATTAAGTTCTTTGTTGCCTTTGAAACTCCGAACTGGACAACTGGATTTTGAATGAACAGGAATTGGGATATTCTGCCTATTTAAAAAAAATTTTTTTCAACGTTTATTTATTCTTGGGACAGAGAGAGACAGAGCATGAACGGGGGAGGGGCAGAGAGAGAGGGAGACACAGAATCGGAAACAGGCTCCAGGCTCTGAGCCATCAGCCCAGAGCCCGACGCGGGGCTCGTACTCACAGACCGCGAGATCGTGACCTGAGCTGAAGTCGGACGCCCAACCGACTGTGCCACCCAGGCGCCCCTATTCTGCCTATTTTAAATCAGCAACGCAAATGAGTCTGAATATTCTAATTTCAATTCATCAAATATATGTTGAGAGCCCACTGCGCACTGGTGTCCCCTTTTACAGACGAGAAAGCTCAGGCTCAGAGAGGTTAAACAACTCCCCCAAGACCCCTAGCTGCGTGGTCAAGTTAGTAGCTTGGTCTCAGCTTTGAATAAAATCTAGCTCTCAGCTCTAGTTTCTTTCTACCACCTTGTGTGTTTCCATCAACAGTTAAATCCCCGTGTTTCAATGAGTTTTAACTGTCTCTGGTCTCTTTTCTTGATGGGGTCTATGAATCCGATGGAAATAGTCGGCTGGCCCCGTCCTACGTAGGGAGAAGCAGCAGCTGACAAAGGCCTCAGCGACTTGCTTTCTGCACCGCGGTGGTTGGAATGTGTGTTCATGGCACTTCTCGGTTTCCCTGGTGGATCTGCATCCTCTTCCCCTCACAGACCAGCCTTTGGTTCAATGGCCTCCCAAACCCCACAGACTAAGGTTGGCCTCCCAGGGACACAGGAAAGGACACGGGGGTGGAAAGAAGAGAGACAGCCAGAAGGCGCTAATCCTCGGCTTGTCCGTTCCAGCCCTTTCCTTCTCCTGCCCGTCCCCCGTGGTAGAGCCACGTGGTCACACACTGGGACCCCCGCCCAAGGGCAGGGAGAGGAAATAAAAGGAGATGAAACAAAAGCACAGCTGTGCTGTTTATTAGGCCTCTGGTTTAAAAAAAATGATGGAGAAAGAGGTTGGAACTAAGCTGCTCTCTTAGAAAACGCTGGCGGTGATTTTAGTGGTGGGTTTTTGGCATCCGAATGTATTAGCTAATGTATTTGAATACAATGAGCTATGCAGTGCGGTGGGGTGGAGAGGGCCTGAGGCTAACCAGCAGGTCTTAGTAACCTTGGGAAAGCCACCTCACATCTCTGGGTCTCAGTTTCCTCTTCTGCACCAGGTACACAGTGAGCCAGACCATCTGAGGAGAGCAGCGAAGACTAGGGCAAGTCTCCTAGTCACTCTGTTCATGCACGAACTATGTGACCAGGGGTCAGTGACTCAACCTCTCTGAGGCTTAGTTTCCCCCTTTTGTGATACGGGGATAAGACATCTACCTCGGAGGGCGAAGAAGTTTAGCCTGGCTAGTGCACAGACAGCTTCCGGAGAAGGTATTTTCCCCAGATCTGAAGGAAGGTCTGGTGAGTGGGATACTTTGAAGGCAAGTGCGGGAGGAAGCTGATCTATGAAGTACAGGCTGGGAGAGGCCTGACCTTGAGGTGGGCGGTGGGGCTCTGAGCCACCCTTCTGAAGGGAGGACAAAATAAAGTACCTGTTGGTAGCAGGACAGAAAACAGGACGCGTGGATGCCAAGCTTTGTTGGAACATGGCCTTGGGGTGGAAAAGAGAAATCTTGGAACACTCCCGC